GCACCCAAAGCGTTTCGAGTCATTGCGAGGCCGCGAAGTTCACGGACTTTGCGATTCTTAGAAGCGATAATTATTCATCGCTTGAAACCGCAATTGTGTTTAAAAAACATTTGTGACGCAACTGTTTTTGCCATGGTAGTGATGATATCACACTTGATACCACCCTACCATAGCATGACGTGACATGACCTTCCCTGCCCCTCCCTAGTTCACCACATTCACCAAATCGTTTGGTCCAGTTCACCCCATATCAAATTTTCTCATCTTACTTGACCTCGACCCCTAACCAAACACAAATCACTCGACTCACTTGTCCAACACTTTGTTCAAATGATTCATTTCAACTCTTATTCATCTTCGTTTCACATGGTCATATAAATGTGCGTTTACAGCTGAATGAGAGCACGCGAAATTGATGGCCAATATCAATCTGCCCACTTGGGTAACAATTGGGATTTAACTTATTCCACGTTAGTTTGCACAGACGTTACGAGGTCCCTTCTTGGAAATTGGAACGATCAGCAACTAACGCCAACACGATGGAATGTGTCACAGCAACTCTAGGTTGTATAATAAGTCAGTAAGAGTTTACGAGGTTATATATATATATATATATATATTACGCACTTTCGTCTGACGTACAGCAGATAGGGAAAGCCCAATGGTCACGAAGATCTGCTGAGCAGTGATGATAGCCAGAAACCTAAGCCCCAGGATCTGGAGTGGCGAACAACACAAGGCCCTGATAGGTGAGGTGTGGTATTGAACCGGACAACAGCACACCTGCCTACCACCAATATAGATATATACATCGCATATATACACATATATAACAACGGTTTGTAGACAAGCATAGTGCCAACGCCACAAAAATAATAACTGTAACTGTAACAGGGCACAAATGGATTGGGATACAGAACAAAATAGAAAGAAGGTGAAACAGTTCAAATGGAAAAAGTAGATAACTGGGATAACAAAAAGTTTCACCGAACACTTTTTGATACTTTCTGTGTTCCTTTATCGTCATTGCTCACTCTTGATGTTCTTGGGCATGAGTTTCACTCCTTGGGAGATCGTTAGTTCCTCACAATTTGATGCATTTACATGCGATGGAAATGTTTGTTTGTTGGTTGTAACAAACATTTCTATTGCATGTACACGCATAAAATTGTAGAGAAGTAACGATCTCCTAAGGCGTGAAAACCACACCCAAGAACACTAAGGGTGCCTGGTGCCTCTTAATAAACGGATGGGCTTGCTACTCTAAATTATATATATATATAACCATTACCATGCACTCTAGTGCACTGCTTTTGGTTGCGGTCTTTAGGTTGCCCACTTGAATGAAGAAGTGAAGTGAAGATGGTAATTTTCAAATTAATGTCAGAATGTAAAAGAGAACTGAAGATTAAGTTTGCAAAGAGCACATACATCACAGTATCTTTATGCAAAGCTAATGGAGGTCAAGAGAGCCAGGTGTTCTGCAAATTGTCAGAGTGGGACCTCCATGCGGATTTCCGTCTCTGAAGACGAGTCTGCTTGTAATGACCATGGGACATAGGCCGGAATGACCGAGGGAGAGCTAGACTTAGATTTTACGCCTCGTTCTGAGTCGCGTTCAATTCTGCTTGTTACCAGCCAAGAGTTATCGGTGTGATCAACGAGCGAAAACTCAGTAGAAGTTTGGGGTTATAAAGCGCTTTGTCCGGCCCCAACTCACTAGGACATCAAACTGTGGCATGCTGGTTGACAGTGGGATGTGGAGTTAGTTTAAGCTTTTCAGTCTGTGCCCTTTGAAAGGTAGTTAACTAAGCTGCTGCTGACAGCTTATTTTGGTCTTACCGTCGATCTGTCGAGCCTTTAGAACGTAAGTGGATTCTAAAGAGGACTTCAATAAGGTTGACTATCTTGTATGAAAGCCCGCTTGTCAATCTGGTCAATCTGGATCGTTCACTTTCTTACGGTTAAGTGAACACGATATTTAATTACCATTGGTACATTTTGTGTGAAAAGAGGCCTACAGAAGCCACCAATGATAGAATGATTCGTTAAGACTGGTACTTGATTACTCGAGTTGTAAAAGCCGTTTCCCACGACTAGACGTTCTGGAGGTCGATAACAACTTAAGCTTCCAAACATTTCTGGGTGTCGCAGATTCATAAGAACGATTAAATTCGACTGATTTCAGCCATACAATACATGCCGCTCCCAGAACGGGCTATACTTAATTAATTTTACGACAAACTCAACCAAGAATAGATGGAAAGTGTAGAAATACATCAGTTACATATATATATTTGACTGCGCAAATGGACATTCATGTAGTGACCTCGATTTAATTATGCCATTTGTGCATGGCTTTCGAAAAGTAAGTGTGAAAATCACTGGCACGCCTCTCGGATGCTAGACGATGACGATTGAGTGTGCATCCGTAATGTGTTCACACTAAACGGCATAGGAGTAGTTTGTGCGCACCAGATAAAACAGACTCTCAAATTGCGAAAATTCGAACACTAATATGACTTTGAGACTGCTTACCGCCATTAGCATGGTGCTCGTAAATCCCGAATCGCCGACTTTGCATTGCATTGTCGAGAGGAAAAAACTTTTCTCGTAAAACGTTCACCACCTCTGAAGTTGTAGCCGTGCTACAAACTCGAATACACTTTGTTTGATATCTCCGTTCTTCATCTTGATAGAAAAATCGCATAACACCATTAAATTCCTCATTCTGTGGAGATGATTTATCATATTATGCACTACCTCATTTGGCAAGGACAACTCAAACAAATCTAATCTACTAGAATTCCATTCTAATATTTGCTCTATAAGTTTTTTTCTGCGAGTCTGTGCATCCATATCCTTTGCGCAGACGTCAGACTGCAACAATACACAACCGAAAATCCAAGCGTATGGAGCGCGTTAATCAGAGTTAATCTGTTCTCCTTTCAAGGTCACAAATAGGTCAATGATTCAGGTTCAGGACAGGACAGGACAGGACAGATCACAGGACTTGCGGCGGAGCCAGAAGCAGTCCAGTTTCTTGCACCAATGAGCTTGGGAGCACCACGGCGCTGCGACAATTGTATTATTTTGCATTATTTCGACGTGGGTGGGTGCGGTTCTGGAAAAGG